GGGAGCAGCGTTTCACAGGCAGCACAGGGGAGGGTGCGTGGATGCACGGGGCCTGTGCACGCGTGCATCATTGTGCAGGACACGTCTGCCGTGGACACAGGGAGAGCTGCCGGCCCGGGCGCGCCCAGGCAGGAGAGCTAGGTGTAAGTGGTGGCCTTTGGGACCACGAGGTCCTGGAGGAACACGGAGGACTAGGCTGTGGCCAACACCTTCCTCGCCGTCATCCCCAGATCTGGACAGGACATGCGTGGGAGTCTGTACGAGGCCTCAGGGAGCCGAGATCCTGGAGACAGACGCCAGGGGAGGTCCTGCGGTGCTGTGGGCCTCAGGTATGAAGGTAGTTTGGAGCTACCAAAGTGGAGGAGCCCTCATAGGCACCCCGAGTTTCAGATGTCAGTTCCAGAAGGACTTGGCCCTGATGGAAGCACAGATCAGGAAAAGACCGCCCTTGTGGAAGCCAAAGCCCAGGTGCGAGCCGCCAGGCACCCACTGGCCTCCGGAGGCACCTCGTCCCTCACTGCCTGCCAGCCAAGCACATCCCACCAGAGAAAGAGACATTATGTGACTTTCAAAACGTTCTTCCTGGGACCAGCAGCTGGCGTAACGGCTATGTCGCTGGACTCTCATGTAGTCGACCGTGGTTCGAGTCCTGGACTTGGTGGCTTAAACTTACACTAGGCGCATGTATGTGCGTGCCCAAGATCCCGAGAGAATGGAGGAGAAGGGATTGCGGCGTGCCCATCCCCCCTGGGGGGTGATTTCTCACTTTCTGTCTGTCTCTGTCTGTCTGGCGAGCGCACGTGCCCTATAGCAAAAACCTCTCCAAAAAAAAAAAAAAAGTTCTCCCTTTTCTCCTGACAGAGGAGAGGGGAAGGGAGATGGGTAGGCGATCACAAGAGGATCCTCAGGCCCTGGCCCCTCAGCCTCGGCCAGCCTGACCCCGGCATGTACGTGTCGGTGTTTAGGAAGTCCTCGGGGTGCAGACCGGGGCCCTGCTCTGCTGTGGCTGCTGTGTCCCGGATGGTTTTCAGTGTGTAACATCTGGACTGAGCCAACGGGTATATAAGAAAGCAGGCTAGACAGGCCCGTCCCCGACTGGCCAGATGCAGGGGTTATAATGACAGACGTAAAGTGGCTGATTGTTGCGCTCAAAGGGAAACGAGCCCGCCGGTGGTCTAGTGGTTAGGGCAGCTGGAACCCACACGGCCGGCTGTGCGATTCAAGTTCCAGACTCGGTGGCTTAGAAAACATGCCAGGCACATGTACGTGTGTGCCGAAATCCTGCGAGGAGATCACAGGAGAAGGGACTGGGGTGGCTATCCCCACTGGGGGTGCTTTTTCACTTTCCCTCTCTTTGTCTCTCTCTGGCAAGTGCAGGGGTCCTATAGCAAATTTAAAAAAAGAGAAAAAGGATGAATGGCAAGACATAGAATTTAGTAACAGAACTCGATGCTAAATATAGATAATACCTAAAAACACAATAATAAAAACAGATAAGACTCAATGAGCTCTATAGCGGCTTAGAGCGGAAGGGAGCTCTGAGAACCGGGCGTAGGCGACCGCGCCGGGGCGGAGTGGTGGCGAGAGGAAAGGAGGCCACATGAATGCAGCTTACTGAGGTTTCCGAATAGCAAAGATCAAAATCAGGGGAAAAGACACATCCCAACAGCAGCAGCGAAAGCCAGAGGCTGAAGGACCCGCCTCGTTAACCCGCGGAGACCCTCCACCCCGAGGACACGCTCGAACAGAGCGGGACTGCTGTGGCCACGCGGGAGGGGACGTGTGGGAGGCTCGGCGTGGGACGCCAGGGCAGGCAGGCCCAGGCCGGGTTACGGAGGGGTGTGCTCCAGCCCCGAGGTCCTGGCCGAGTCCCACGTGGCCGGGAAGAGCTTCTGCGGGAAGGCAGGGAAGGTGCCCGCGGGTGCGGCAACCAGGCTGAGGTCGTAGACCGAGTTCAGCGCTCCTGAAGCAGCCAGGACGCAAGGGCGAAGGCCGAGGAGGACAGCCCTGGCCAGGATAGGCCCGAGAACCCACGTCTAGATTCAGAACCCGAGTTTGGAAGTTAGCCAGCACGTGTCAATATATGAGTCAGTGACACGGAACGTGAGAGGACATTTTGGCCTGAACGATAAACACAGCGTGCCGTTAGCATGGAGAAGACAGACACAGGGACAAGGGAGGACTCGGGACAGACTCTGCTCTCTTAAAGGAAATGGATCCATTCCAACCCTTTCTTACAAAGAAGACTCCGACCTTGAATGACGCCAGTGAATTCCACCAAACAGTTCAGAAAAAAATAACTTCAACTGCACAAATACTTCCAGGAAATACAGGAAGAGAAAACATTTTCTAACTTATATTTTAAATTTCTTTTCATTTCTACGATGCCTTTTTATTTAACTTTATTTATTTAAGTTTGACCAGAGAGCAGGGAAGAGAGAGAAAGAAAGTGAGAAAGCAAGCCACCAGGCCTGAGACTCGAACCACAGTTGGCCAAGGGGGAATCCAGTACCCTTAATCACCATGCCACCAGCTGACCCCAACACTTTCCAACTTATTTGATGAGGCCAGCATAACCCTGATTCAAAACTTGACAAAGATGTGGTCGGCAGGTGGCAAGTGGTTAGGATGCTAGACTCCCTCGTGGCCAACCACAGTTCAAGCCCTGGACAGGGAGGTGACAATCACATGTGTGCCCAACATCCCAGGAGGAGAATGGAGGGGAAGGGATTGCAGGATGGCCATCCTCCCTAGGGGGTGATTTCTCACTTTCCCTCTTACTGTCTCTCTTTGTCTCTCTACTGGAGCACATGTGCCCTATGGCAAAAACCTTAAAAAAAAATTGCAAAGAAATTACAAGGCAGAAAATGACAAATCAATAGTCCTCACAATTATAGATGCAAAAATCAATAACAAAAGTTGCATCCAAAAAATATAAAATAAATATTAACTTACGGCCAAACAGGCTTTATCTGTAGTATGCAAGGTTGGTTTAACATCCCAAAATTAACCAATATAATTCACCACATTAACAAAGTAAGGAGAGTACTTATATAATTAATCATCTTAACAGATACACAAGCAACATTTAACAAGTCAGTAACCCCTCATGATGTCTTTTTACTTTTTTTAAAGAATTATTTTATCTTTGGTTATTTATTTTATTTTAATTTGACCGGAGGAGAGAGAGAGAGAGAGAGAAAGTGAGAAAGCAAGGTGCCAGGTCTAGGACTCGAACCGTGGTTAGCCATGTGGGAGTCCAGCACCTTAACCACCACGCTACTTGCTGGCCCCAACCACTCATGATTTCTAGAAAAATTCATCTTACTGGGAATAAAGAGGAACTTTTTCAATCTGATTATGGGCATCTATAAAAAGCCTATAGGTAATATCATATTTAATGTTGAAATACTGAATTATTTCCTTATTATTGGTTTTAGCAGTAGAATGGCCACTCTTACCACTTTTAAAAATTATTTCTTTTATATGTGTGTGTGTGTGTGTGTATATATATATGTATATATATCTTTTTTTTTTTTGGAGAGGTTTGCGTTATAGGGTGCGTGTGCTCGCCAGACAGAGACAGAGAGACAGAAAGCGAGAAATCACCCCCCAGGGAGAATGGTCATGCCGCAATCCCTTCTCCTCCATTCTCCTCTCGGGATCTTGGGCACACACGCACATGCACCCGGCGTGAGTTTTAAGCCACCAGGTCCGGGATGTGAACCGCAGTCGACTACTTGGGAGTCCAGCGACATAGCCATTACGCTAACTGCTGGTTCCCCAATAATATTTTTAAAGAGACTTTTGCTGTAGGGTGCATGTGTTCACCAGAGAGAGAGAGGCAGAGAGATAAAAGGCTAGAATTCAGCTCCAAGGGAGGGTGGCCACACCACAATCCTTTCTCCTTCACTCTCCTCTCAGGATTTTGGGCACGCATGCACATGTGCCTTGTGTGAGTTTCAAGTAATCAGGTTCAGGACTCAAACTGTGGCCGGCCGTGTGGGAGTCCAGTGACGTAACCATCACACCATCTGCTGGTCCCATCTTTCATATACTTTTTAATTGTTAGGCGGCATGCACATTGGATAGAGACAGAGGGAGGGGAGGGCGTGGTCATGCTGCGATACTATCGTCTCCATTTTTCTCTCCTGTTGAGATTTAGGGCATGCATGCACATGCATCTGGCATGTTTTCAAGCCACCAGGGCTGGGATTTGAACCATGTTTAGCCATATGAGGTCTGGCTTCCTTAACCATAGGCCACCAGGGAACCCTTTCACTATTTCTATTCGACTCTGTTCTGCAGGTCCTAGTGCAATAAAGAGGAAGAGTCACAGGGCATTGTGATGGAAGAAAGTGAAGCTGTTCTTACAGGTGACATAATTCTGTACATGTGAAACAGAACGTACAAGGTGTCAGGGACGCGTGGTTAAAAGTTACTATGTACTAGCTTTGACCAATAGGAAAACGAAACAAAAACAGCAATACGATTTATAATATAAAATCTAGCGATGAACATCATTAAAGATGTATAAGATTTCTACAATGAAAACTGCAAAAAAGGGCAGAGAAGTTAGATAAAGATGTGGAGAGATATACCATATTAAGGGATAGAAAAAAATATAGTCAAGATATCCAGTCTCAAATCAGTCTATACATTCAATGTGATCTTTGTTTTTCTTATTATTTTCATAGTATTATTTATTTAATTTTATTTATTATTTTCCTGCTACAACTGGCCAGAGAGACAGAGGGGCTGTGGGACCCATCCTCACTGCCTGCCTGCTGCGGGGCCGTCCTCACCTTGTCCAGCTGTTCCTGGAGCTGGGTCTTGTCCTGCCGCAGCCGGGCTGCCTGCCCCTCCAGGTCTCCCAGCTGCTGCTCCAGGCACCCGCAGGCCTCCCGCAGGCCCCTCCTCTCGGCCCGCTCCTGCTCCAGCTCCTGCTCCAGCTCCTGCTCGGCCCGTGCCAGCCGCTCCTGGGCACCAGCCTGCTCCCGCTCCAGCAGCTGCTGCTGTCCCTGTAGCTCGGCCCTTTCCTGCTCCAGCTGCCACAGGGGTGGGGACGGGGCCTGTGTCCTGTGTGTGCCATGGGTCCTCGGCCTCTGTGGGCGCCATCCCCACCCCCACTCCAGGCTCAGCCAGGGCTGCTCCGGGGAGAGAGGGCCTCATGCCAAGAGTGGAGAGGCTGGGTGGGGCAGACCCAATGGCGTAGCTTCTTGGGAAACCCAGGCTAGGCAAGGTCCACCCACCAGCCCTGGCCTCACCTGGAGGACCAGGTGGCTCAGGGCACCCTTGTCCTGAGCCAGCCCCTCCATTAGGGCGGCCATCTTGGCCAGGGCGTCCCTCTGCTCCGCCCCCTCTGCCTGGAGTCGTGTCACGAGCAGCTCCAGGTCAGCATTGCTGGACTCGGCCTGCGGTGGAGGGGGGCAGACGTCACCCGAGGGGACACAGGAGGGACGGTGGGCAGTCCCAGGCAGAGCAGTCGGTGGGCAGGAGCGAGCCCCACACCAAGGCCGTGTGGCCGGAGCTGCAGGTGGGCTCAGAGAGGGCTCCCGCAGTGGGCAGCCCAAGCACCAAGGCTGCAGCTAGGAGGGACCAGTGGCCCACAGAGAGACCGCAGAGGGCCGCCAACGCGGTCACCAGGGGCAGGGGCCTGCTGACCCAAGGACACGTGGGGGTCTGTGATGGGCCGAGGGCCCAGGTGGGCGGCAGGCTGGGCTGGGGGTACCCACCCGGGCCAGAGCACCACGCAGGCCTTCCCGCTCGCCCCGAGCCCCGTCTCTCTGCAGACGCGCAGTGCTCAGGGCTTCCTGCGTCAGCTCCAGCTCCTTCCTGAGCCCCGAGACCTGCTGTTCCAGCTTCTGCAGGCGCCCTTGCCTGGGACCCAAGACCAAGGGGTGGAGGTGTGAGGGTGCCTCATGGCGGCTGGGACCACCCCACACGACCCTCAGGCCTCCTGCCATTTGCTGCGCCTGAAGCCCTGAAACAGCAGTGGGTGCCCTTGAGGTGTGGGAAGTCGGTGAGCTGCGAGGGTGTGGCCTTTGTGGCGCCCCTTATTTGGGGGCTGGGGCTGAGCAGTGCACTGGTGAGGTGTGTGTGTGTGCGTGTGCATGTGTATGCATGTGTGCACGTGTGCTGGGCTGGACACCCCCTCTGCCGGGCCTGCTCTGGGCCAGCCTGGGGTGATGGTCGGGGAAGGAGCCTGGGAGCCCTGCACCCCAAACAGACTGGTCAGGACACTGCCCGTCGGGTAGAGGAGGCCATGAGGCCCAGAGAGAGGCGGCAGGTGCGGCCCACCTGGCCCGCAGCTCCCTGCGCTGCCCCTCGCTCTGCTGCAGCAGCTCCGCCTTCTGTTACGCCCGCAGCGCGAGGCCTCCCT